CTGGCAGGCTGGGACGCTGATTCAGACGCCATCTTCCCCTCTTCTGGACTTCCTGGGTAAGTCCTTAAATCTTTTGTTTCAGCTTGTAAAGGATCCCATCTTCGTCGCCAGTGTTGTATACTTTGTTCGCATGCGAATGATGAAGACACATGGTGATGCTGAACAAACTCTTTATTCTCCTTCTACAACAACCAAGCAAAAGCAAAAGACAACAAAAGTGTCAACCTTGTGCATGTGCACAAGGCAGGCACCACTCTGTCTGGTCCCGGGCAGCTTTTGGAATGCCCGGGACCAATGCAACGTCCCGAGCCTGCTTTTGCAGGCTCAAGACACAACAATAATCATAAGCAATATTTTACAATTTTCATTGTCCACTTAAATCAAATAAAAGGGTGAATCAGTATTAATAAATTCATTTGTTGTTTAGTAACTATCAAGAAGACTATTTTTGTATCTTACTCTGCAAAGAGAAGGCTGTTTGGAAAAAGTCAAGGGCGTATTTCTGTCCTAATTCATTTCCTATGCTAAAAATAAAAACTATTTTCTCTGTGTTGATAAAATTAACATTTAACTAATTAATTGTAATCATCTGCATTTCAATATATTATGTTTTCAAGAACATAACTATCAGAAATAATTTAAAATGTAGGTTGCTAATTATATAAGTATGTTGATGACTTTGTAGATGGCTTCTAGGGAATATATATCTGATGTATAACAAATTGGTCCAGATTAAGGAAGAGTAATCTGTTGACATCAGAATACTTTTTTATAATAAGCAGTATGCTTTTAATTATCCTGGATCCTCAAATCAGTTGTACATTGATAAGCTTTATTTTGTCAAGGAAGCATCCTAGAACATCCATATTAGAAAAAAACATTCTTCCAGATTAGTTCTTACAAGAATTATGTGTCCTCCTCATTCCTGTTAAAGTCTCTAGCTCTAACGTCTGACCTCTTCAGGAAACAAGATAAAATGAATGCAGAAGAGCCATCTGGGTTCTTTTGTATAGGAAAGTTGCGCCCTGCTATAAAACTATAATTGGCCTCTGCAGTTTTTTTTATTTGTAGGTTTAGATATTGCCCTTGTATGGGACTTTAGTTTTTCTTTTTAATTTTCCTGATGCACAAAATATTATTTTAGTTGCTTTGATACATTGTTGGATTCTGTTCTTTTCTAGAGCAGAGGTAATTTGCATTCACAATCATATAATTAAACAGCAGGATTTTTTTTTAAAAAAAAGTTCTCCATGATCTGCCAGTTAGGCTTGCATAATAGCTTCATGGGACAGATGCGAGCTGATTTGGGTTTTCCCCAAGTTTTCTTCATTTTAGCAGAGACCTTTTAAATGATCAGCATTTTTCATCTCCTAACATTCTCAACTAAGTTTAAAATATGCCTGGGATAGACCAAACCTGCTTTGACTATTTGCAGATTAATTTGGATATGCCTATATGAGTATATACATGTCTTATGTATTTGGAAATCTAGAGATTACGGAAAATCCATCAATCAACCAATGCTTGTTGTTTCTGGTTAGATAATTGTAGGGCAATCTGTATTATTATTTCAAGTTGGCCAATAATTGGTTCTCTCCCTAAAAAATATTTGTTCCCCTATTCATGAAGAAATAAGTAATTTTTTCTCTTTCTTTTTCTCTTATGTTCTATTTAAATACATGCATTTGCAAATGTTTTTCCATTGCTTTGCAACAAATCTCAGAGGGGAAGCTGTGTGATAGAGATGTTGATTGTGAAACAAAATGGTGAACAAATGTATCAAGAACTCTCAAGCGTTTTCTAATGTTAATCCACTGTTGCCTTCCTAATTTCTGTTATTTGTAAAGCCATACTTGGGGGCAGCTTGTAATACCACATTTTTGAATACCTTTTCTTAATCAGCTGGGAAACTAGCAGAAGCAGGAATTTTGCATCGTTATCACCCCTTAAATCACAAGTCATTGGATTCTTGCTATTTCTGAAATAGCCTTTCTTTGTTTAAATATAAGATGATATTAGCACAGGGACAAGTCACAATTATAATGCCCCAGTAGCAACATTGAAAGATTGGCCAGGGCCAGACTGCAATGTAGCTTGGAAGGGAGAAAAAGTCTGAGAAAGAGTGGTTTCCTTTTTGTTATTGTTCCTATTAAATAGATGTTTTATTTTTTTTAGACAAAAAAGCAGCCTTTGAAACTCATTGAAACACCACCCTGTAAATCAGTTCAAATAAATAATTTCTTTAGACAATGCTAACAATATTTGACCAAGCAAATGGTCAGCTGGATGCTTAAAAAGCTCTTATTTTCTATAATTGAGGCTCAAAGTTGGATGGACCATTCATTTCTTTATAATCCGTATGCCAAATTACTTTAAATAAATAGCAAACTTTGGGGATGTGTGAAAGAGAACAGAATTGAGGCATTGAGAAAAATCATTTTTAAGATTATGAACCAAACCTATCTCAAATATGATTGGGGGAGGGACTAGAATAGTTATATACAGTTTTGAGGAAAGTTGTTATTGGTTCACTTACATCTTTCATCTTATTGCAAGTGGGCTATATGCCATTCCACATTGTATCTTCAAGCTTCCACTATAATAATAACCCATCACATCCCTTCTCATGATAGATGTTTAATTTACATTGCACACAAGGCTTACTAAAATAACTAATGTCATACCTAGTTTGCCCTTAAGAGCAGTGATTGACTGATTTTTTTTTGTCCTGACATAATGGCAACTATCTAACTCTACATATCCAACAGAATTCAGGAAGAGTATGCATATTTGCATTAGTTTTAATATGGTCCACTTCTGCATGCTCCGAGAACCTTCTTTAATACAAATTTGGATTTTGCTGAGCAATATGAGCCAGATGAATGAAAATATCTCTCTTTTTTATTCCCTATCTGAATGTGTAAAAGCTAAGAAGAGCAGGATGCAGATTTGTCCACAACCTGGCATGAAATCCTGCATATATTTAGTTGAATGCCTCAATAGGACTACAGTGCATTACTTGCTTAGAGGACCAATAGTAATTAGTAGTGGCTGAGAAATTTATTCTATGTGATTGTCCCCTTTTATATATTTATACTGTTGGCACTCCTAAAAAGGAAAGCATCTTTTAGTTCTTCTTAATTGAAACTTTTTTCCTCATGTATATATGTGTGTGTGTGTGTGTGTGTGTGTATGTGTGTATATATATATATATATATATATATATATATATATATATATATATATATATATATATAATTATTCCTTATCTTCTCAGCCACGTTCCATGCAATATTTCTTCAATTTAAGATATAGTTATTAATACTTTTTCAGTATTATATGCTGCACATTAAAGTCCCTGTTAGCACTCATTTTAGCCATATGTTGAGCACACAAAGGAATGATTAACCCTTACATTACTGATAGATGCTTTTCATCATCTCAGAAATAATACTTTTAATGAATTCCATCCAGATGTAATCAAGTTCAGAACTGACTCATTTAAATCAATTGGGTGAATAGATCATAGCTTACAAGTCCTATTGATTTCCATGTAATTATACTGTAGGCATGCTCAGACATTAAATGCCAGGCAGAAAGTACATAGTATACATGTATGATGGAACCAAATTTTAGAGGTATATTTAATTGATGACTACTAGCAGTGAGAACTGCTCTTTTAAGAAGAACAAGACCACTAGTAACTATTATGTACGTCAGTAATTATTGAGCCACCTTACAAGATGCCACAGACTAATTATGTATTTTATTTTGAGGAGTTAGATAATTTCATCTCCTAATTTTGATTCCAAAAAGTACCAAACAGAAATATATAGGATTTTTCCTGGATTGTATTCCTGTAGAAAATTTCCTTCCCTACACATATAGGGAAGGAAATGAGTCTTTTATATGGAAATGTAGTATTAAGTATTCTTTTTCAGAAAACACATTCAAGCAGTGTGAACAATAATACCCAGTTTATCTTCTCAAGTAACCCCAGTGAAATATTGAAACTTGAGAGCTAGTGTTTATGTAAACATTTCTGTGGCATAGGAATTGTTACTGCTTTGAGATAAAATAATATACCATCAAAGTAAATAAAAGGCACTGACCTGGAGCACTTTTATCTGAAAGTGAAATCTCCTTTGAAAATTAATAGAATATTCTTAAAAATAAGCAAGTGTTGATGAAGGGAAGCAGGGTGTGCCACAACCTTTGATTTCAGATCCAAACACATGTGCTGGAACATATGCAACAGCATGTCCTCATCCTGCTTTTTATAAATGCTTATCTTTTTTTTGTAACCTAATACTCAAAAGTTAGGTGTGGAAAGTATTTAGGTTTTCCCACCCTCTTGTCCTTATTTCATTGAATGAAGCTTAAAGCCCTCAATAGTTTGAAAAAGATCAGGGAACACCTTTTCTCATATTAGCCTATCCGAGCCATAAGTTCTTTTTCTAACTTTCTCTTTCATCAGAGGCACATTATATACCCAACATAGAAAAGGGCTTTCTTAGTAGGTCCGTATGCTTATGCATTGCCTTACTTGCCTATTGCCTTAGTTGCTATATTTTTAAGATTACCAAAATGTATCTTGACTGATCCAAATATTTTGATTAATTGTAAAACATTTGAACTTCACAATGAGGAATTAAGACTTTATTAACTCTTGAGTTATTGTAATTCTAAAACTGTAATCTGCTGTAATCCTAATCATGCACTGTATCTCTGTATATAATTTACCATACTTAGTACAAATCAAGTTTGTAGCAAGAATTACAAGAGCAATCCTTGAAAAATTACATCCACAAGGAGTTATCAGCCAGCTTTATAGAGTTTACTTTTATTGCCAAGCCTTAGGACTCTGATTTAAATACTCTGATTTGATTCATTTATTTCATAGGATCTGACTTAACAGTTGATTTATATTAGTAAATATTAATATTTTTAGCCTATGAATAGAACCATCCCACAGAAAGAAGGCAACGATAGTACACTGATGTGACCATATGATTTTAGTATGTCATAACTGATATCATGATCAAAAACATTTAGATTTTAATTGCATTTAGAGAAAATAAAGTAAAATGCCATTATACAAACTCTACAAGTGAAGGCGGAATAATACAAAATAAGTGCTATGTGAATTTTATACTAAAATGGATGCAAAACTAAAAAACCAAGAATTATAAGTAGCTCCTACTAGCAATTCCTTCAGATTTCAACTGAAAAATAGTGACTACCCTTATTTTATTTAGATGCACTTTGCTTAGATTTTTTTTGCATAGCTTAAAATATTGCTGCACCATGTCTCCTCATGATGCTTGCAACAGTTTTCCTTAAACAAAAACCTCCCAAAATTTAAAATAAAAATTTACTTCTTCCCCAATGCATAATATATCATTTCTAATTTTATAAATACATCATTTTAAACTCATCAGATCTGAGCAGCATGCATTCATATAATGACTGTACAATTGAAATACAGTTGCAGACTTTCTACGATGTAACTTTGATTAGCTCAACCATTTTTATTCCAACACACTGCCTGACAAAATCAAGCAACTGTGGTGGAAAAGAAAGAAAATTATTATTAAAAAAACAGTGAAGACAAAATTTCACAGTGCTTACCAGGATCCAAATTGGATTAAATATAAATCAGTAAAATTCTTCTTATTATCTATTATTATTGATTCTACATAGAAATAAAAAAGGCCCACAACAGTTGACACACTTTTGAACCTAGCAAACAGATTTTTAATAGAGTTGCATCAATTAACCAGGGCACAAGCATCTGCTTTATCTTAATTAGACAGAGAGGTGAATGACCACTGTTTATTTTCACTTTCCTCATTAATTATGAAAAACTGCATTTAATTCATCTTGCATGGTGAGTGACTGGCTGCGCAGATGTAGGTCGTAAGGGAAGTGACTCTCTGTAGGCAACCGGAATACAGAACTCTGCCCAAGGGGAGCCCTGGGTGGCACTGCACAATAATGCATGCCATAATTGTAGTTTTTACTATAGTCCAAACCTTCTTCTTGCTTGAGGGAGAATATCCCATTATAGTTAATTGGGGGAGGACTTAAGGGACCTTCAAACTGTGGGCTGGAACACTCAGGAGACGTGCTTTCATAGAAGGATTCATACGGGCTGCAATAATTGTAGGGTTTCATGGACTTGGAACTGTCAAGCGTTCCATGACCTGGGGGAGTGTTCAGCTCTGGGCTATGATAGGGTGGGTAGAAAGTAGAATAGGGAGATCTGGTGTGATGGGCCGTTTCTCCTGTCTGACCCATTAAGAAACTTCTGGCATTCAGCTGTAGACATCCTGCCACCAAGTTTGTTGTTGGCTGGGAGAGACCTTTGCATAAGTTTTGGACAAATGACAGCAGATCAGGCCTCTTGCCAATTCGTAAGATTTCTGAAAGAGCCCATATGTAATTTTTTGCCAGCCTTAAAGTTTCAATTTTAGACAGCTTTTGTGTTTTGGAATAACAAGGGACCACTTTCCTTAAATTATCCAGTGCATCATTCAGGCCGTGCATTCTATTTCTTTCCCTGGCATTCGCCTCCTGACGCCTAAATTTGACCCTATCCATTCTCATCTTGGTCATTTTTTTTTTCCGAAGAGTTCTCCTCCTGGGCAAACCATTTTCATCCTCTTCCTCTCGGTCATCTTCTACTTCCTCTTTTTCTGTGTCTTCTGCTGGAGATCTTTTAAAACTTGTTCCTTGGTGCATAATCTGTTTTACAAAGATTTCTGGCTTTTTAATTTGCGTTTGGTCCTCATTTTCTCTTGAAAGGTTTCTGCAGATCTGGGAATCTTGCATTACAACAGATTCATCAAACGGTAACGTTAACATGATGTTATAATTTTATGTTACCTGAAAGAATGCCAATAGAAGGTTTTTAGAGTATCTGTTTACACAAACACACACACACACACACACACACACAATCTTCTATATATTCCAATGCCCCCTTATTATACATAGTGCAATTAAAAAATATTATTTGCTATTTTTACTAATTAATTTAATGCAAATGTATAGATTCTAATGCAATGTAACAACCAGAACAAAACAATGACACTTTTTAAAACTGAACTACTTCCCCCTTTTAAAAGGGGGGGGACTTCATTTAAAATAATAAGATAAAATGCATACATTTAAAATATCCAATGATTTTGACTATTAAATAATACAATAATTTTAAAATTTAAAATATTTTTTGTTTATAGAAAAACATCAACTTTTATATTACCATATTTTTCACATATTTTTCTCCAAATCATCATAATAAATCTGTATTAACTGGAAGAATTGAAATGTAAAAGAAAGTAAGCGAATCATTCAGTGACTTAATTAAAGTGAAGAGGCAAATTTTAATGATCAGTATAAATATGTGTGATACATGAATTATTATTATTTTTCTAGTAAAGTAGGTCTGGAAAAGTATATTCACAGAAAGCATTTGGCAATACATTTTTTGTTATTTCTTTATTTTAAAATGATAGACTAAAGAACCTAAACATATTTTCCCAATTCTACAATAAAGGTATTTGGTGTTCCCGTCCCCTTTTTCAATTAAAATAAAAATAAAAAAAGAGGCAAACCTAAGCCTTTTCACACTTTACTGTGGCATCTGTGTTCTTCAAGGAACAGACGTTTCCCTCCAGCTAATATTTGACAGGAATGGTTTCAGGATTCTTACTGAAATTGTGCACGTGTGTTCTGAATCCGGAATGAAAAAAGGGGGGAGAAAAATCATTTGCTCCTCATTACATTTATTTCTGCCCCTGAGGTCACTTTTTAAAGAGCCTTTCAGGTTTCTCTAATGGATAAACACACATTTACAAATTTACAAACAATTATGGAAGAAACCTTGACTCAGAGGCAGGTTTTCCAATTTTAAAAAACTAAGCTAAACTAAGCCCACCATCGAAATATCAATTCTCAGTATTATCCATGCCATTTTGACAGTATTACATAATTGGTGAAAGTATATTAACATTTAAAACACAGTGAAACAGAAGCAGTATCAAATAATAGCATTGATAAAATACAGGCTTTACTTTTTCTATATCTTTAAACTCTTGCATGCATGCTCAACAGCACCACTTGAAAACACAGACACGAACACAGAAATATTTACTTGCATTACCTTGGCCTTAAAATTCTGATTCAATTAACAGATTTCATTTTTTTGATTCCTTCCAAATCTTTTCAATCTGAATGTCGCATCATCTCCTGGAGTCTAGATTTGTGTGTATCTGCACTATCTCATTGATCTCTAAAAAGTGACATTGATGCCAACTGCCAGAGCTGGTACCCATGCCATCTGCTGGTGACGTCACAGGGCAAAGAAAACCATGTGATTTTTCCTCCTGGGACCTTCATTCTGCACTGATCATCTGGCATCTCTCTAAGTGGGTACCAGCATTCATGTATCAACACAGAAGGTTAGGCTGATAGGGGAGACAGCGAACGGGGGGTGGGTGGGTGGGGTGGAGTGGGGGAAACTACACCATCATTTCACATGCTGAGGTGAATTTCTGTGAGTTTTGTTGAACAGGCAGAAATGCCAACATTTGCCATTTATCTTTATCCACAGGTAACTCTGATTTTTTTTTTTAACTTGATACTCTGTTGATTTTATTGCAGAAAGGATTTTTGGTGTGTTGGTGAGATAGTTATATACTCATATGCACGGACTATCCTATTTTTCTTTCCAATGAGGACCTGTAAAATTGAAGAGAAAGAATTATGCCAACCTGACAGAGATGTCAAGTATATTAGAAATAGTTTCTGACCTAGTCTTGATGGAGAAATGTCTCACTGTGAGAGCAAAAACAATTATTGATTCCGATTTGCTGTATACATATTGTCTCTGTACAGAACAATTCCCACCTCTTTATAAGTGCCTCTGGGGCATTTCTGATGGAAGGGAAAAAAGGGGCTATTAAGAAATTTCCCCAATTTAGTGTTTTTTCTCAGTGCACATGTGCTGCCACTCTATAATGTTTTCCCTTAAGACAGCAACATGGTCCACATACACAAATGGCTTTAATCGATTGCAAGAGAGGCAGACTAGTTTTTTCCAGGGTTTCTTTAACGTTCATCTTTTGAAACAATTAAATGTGGTATATATTTTTGCTTCTAATTATTCCAATATCCTAGCAGTTTATTTATTTTTGAAACTCTCTCTCTCTCTCTCTCTCTCTCTCTCTCTCTCTCTCTCTCTCTCTCTCTCTCTCTCTCTCTCTCTGTGTGTGTGTGTGTGTGTGTGTGCTGTTCTTCATACAACCTCTGTTTGCCATTCATTATTTTTCACTATTCTGCTTTCTTCTCCAACTTTTCCCCCAGTTTGCTTCATTAGATACAACAGGCAAGAAATAGTTAAATCTGCCAATACAGCCAAAGATTGCAGAATGTTACTGGCAAACTCCAGTTTGCTTTTTCAGGAGGAACCATCTCCAAGAAGACACATATAGTTAACTTGCTGGTTGTTATAGATCTTTACATTGCCATTATGATTTTAATCATTCTTTGGCCACCAAATATTTATGATTCATTTTTAATTCACAGTTGATTTAAGTTTCATATTAGCATATCAACATTACTATTGCAATATTCTATTTCAACTTGGATTGATATTTTAAAAGAAACCAGAAAAAAAAAACTCTGAACAGTTGTGGCATTCTTTTCTAAGTCTTTAACTTAAATATTCCAACGTTCTCCACTTTTTTATTTTCATTGAAAATGAGGGTAATTACCTTAATCTAAATTAGGAAGTATATTAAAAAAGAAAAATCCTGTATAATAAATAAGGAACAAGCTTTGACTTCACCTGGTAAATTTAAATAAATTCATTCCCATTCTCATTCTCACTAAGCTTGCTCAGGCTGAATATTGTGTATGTTTACTGCTGAATAGTTTTTAAAAAGATAGATACAACAGACTATTAAATCATATTTAGTAAAGAAAAAGAAATATGGAAAATGTTATTTTGGAAGACCCTTAAATTAGCTGTTAATTTTTAAAAAATGGATCTATATTTAGTATGTAACTGATGTATAGGACTGTAAGTTTACAAATAATTGCAAAGTCAATGATATTAAGAGTTGTTCTAAACAAAGCAGACACTATATATAGTAAATCAACTATCAAGCTGGAAAGTGTAATATTCCCAATCAATGTATATGTCAGTCAATTTCCTTCAGACTCTTTTTTATAAAGGGTTTCGTGTATAGAAGGATTGTGTTTATACTTCATATAGCAATTTCGCTACTCACTCACACACACACACACACACACACACTTATTTCATGTTATTTTTATCATAAAAAGGATTTCAGTAAATCACAGAAAGCTCTATTAACATTAAAGTTCACTGTCTTTTAAATCAATTGACTTTTTAGTAATTTTCAAAAAAATTTCTGCAATGTAAAATAGTTGCAATATTAAGATTTTAAAATCATGCACTCTGTACCCCTAAGATTCTTGCCTACTAAGTTTTCTTCAAAAACATATTCTGCACCTCAATCCTAATATATTAACATGCATTCACAATTTTCCAAGCAACCCAAGTCAAAAATATATTTAAAACAATGCATTTTCCCCCCTGAGGACTATGTGATCTAGAGACATGGAGTCAAATATATGGTAAGTGTAAGCCATGTGCATAAGATGAAGAAATTATATGCACAGCTGTACTTCCTTTGCCATGTGGCAGGCTGATTCAACATTTGAAATAGAAAATATTTGGAAGAAGGCTGCTAGCTACTACTTCATCATTTTTCTTTACAAATGTTGTTTTTCCCCTGTCCAGGTTTAGAACCTTTGCAGTAGACATGCTACTAATTACAAGATTCAAACCACTGTAGCTGTTGAAATGTCAGGGACTGATGAAAAAGTTTTGGAAAATCTTAATGTACGTTAAGCAAATGAAGAACATATAATTGAGTTCTAATAAAGCAGTAGTATATTAAGACTGAAAAATAAGGCATACTTGACGATCTCTTAGTGGTTGTGAGTAGGGTGATCATTTAGATATTGCTGAAATATTGTAAAGGAAGTTGCATCATTCCAAAATGTGATAGAAATTTGTAAAGTATTGAAATCACTTTGAAAATAAAGCAAAATGTAAATAAAAATACTTTACACATGTATTTGATGATGGTGGGGAGGGCTGTGATCAGGTAACTTTGTGGTTCTTTTCTACAATTCTGCATAATAATGTGTAGACTCATTTGTGCTTACTTTTAAACTCATCTAATCTCATACCCAATTTGGCAGTCAGGTTGGTATAGTGGTTAAAGGGAGTGGGCAAGAAACTAGGAAACCATGAATTCAAGCGAAGAAAATAAAAAAAGGTGGAGGAAAGGAAGATCATCTTGAAAACATGTGATACTAATTACTGCAAGAGTTCCTCCATATAACATGATGTCTTCAAGAAGAAGACCTCAACAAAGAATGAGGCAAAATACACAACTTGCATGATGTGATATTTCTGCTGATGTTGGTGCCATGGCTAAAGTCCTCCCTCATTGTCATGCATTCCTATTCCCTGGAGAAACTGCCAATTTCTACTGTCTGAAGAGAAAGGTCAGGATAGGCAATTTGCAACTTCTACTTAATGAACATCTCAGTTTATATAGCAATGAGGAACCTATTACAAGCATAACAAGCTCCTATTGAATAATAAGCAAGACTATATGTGTGTGTGCTTGCAAAATTCAATAATTTAATTGATGCACCAGGAGGTACAGGAAACACATTTGTTATCAGTTTCTCACTAAATTTAGAGGAGATACAGATGTTGCTATTGCTATTGCATTATCTTGTATGCCTCATGTAAACAAAGCCACTTGAATCAAGATACTCCTCAAAATGAATGAAAACATTTTTTTAACATCAAAAGAACCTTAAATCCTGAAAACTGTTTCAGTATGTGAAGCAATTGTCTGGAATAAGTGCCCCAGTTTAGAAATGAGAGTATTGGATCTGTAAATCAGACACTTTGTGATATGTAAGAAAAATGAGGCCTTTGCGGGAATTTTAACCATTTGCTATGGTGATTTCCATCACCTTCTACCAATTGTGAAAAAAGAAAATGATGTTGACATGAAGAATTCATGCACTGAAAAACCATACTTATAGAGAAGTTGTCAAGCTTCAGCTAAAGAGAAATGTGATTGAATGAGATAGAAGGAAGATATTCTGAGTTCTTGTTGGATGTTGGACAAGACAAAATTCAGAAAAATAAAAATGATGTAATAGAATTAGTTGAAGATATGATGCTGCCAGCAAGACTATAGAATAATATATAGATTATCTACCCAACATTTAACAATCTTGAAAAACTATTGTTCAGAAATTCTATCTTGGTTCCACTTGGTGAAATGATGAGAAAAATCAATTCCACATTAAATCTTCTCTGGAATGATACGAAAATGTTGTTCCTGCAATGCTGTCAATTAAGTAGCTAATGCTCCTCAGAATTCCTTGATTCAATTGAACTTTCTGGATTGCCACTACATAAACTGGAATTGAAGATAGGACTTGCATCCATTTAAAGAAGAACTTTGATTTTTCAAGACTTTATAATGGAATGTGAATGCTCTGGAAGAACTGAACAAGAATCTCATTGTAACAAAGATAAACATTGATGTGTTCAAAAATGACATTGTCGTATTTCCAAGAATTATGCTCAAATTGTCAAAAGTGAAAATGTTTTTCTTCAGTGGATACAGTACCCAATACAGTCATGCTTTGCTCTCAGTATACATAAAGTGAAAGTACAGTTTATGAAGAATATGCTAATAAACTGGACAAACTAGTATGATCAGCTGTCTGTCACTTTAAACCAAGTAAAAAGAATGAAAACATTTTTTTTTACTTGGCTTAAAACAGTATTCTTAAAGAATGGCAAATCAACCACAAGTGTCATCAAAAGCATCCTTTGTTAACTGAAAAGTATATATGTTTGTTTTACTGAATATCTTTCTTCTTTAATAACATGTTTTCTTCTTTCTTTTTTAAAACCAAACAATAACTTTCTGGTCATTGCCATTCTGCTTCACTTTCTAGATCAGGGTAACTGGTTGCCTAATATGTGCTAAAATTGGAATAATAGCAATTGGATTAACATAGCAAAGAATATGCCATAAAGTCTCCAGGAAGCACATGGCTGACTTCATTTTTAAAATATCAGTAAAGCTTTAAAATCGGCCATGTTTCTGCTGCCAGCCTAATATTAAATACTGTTTTTATACTATTTGCTACAGGAAAGGGTGACAT